CAGGCTTTATACCCACCAGATCCACAGCCATTAATATCCGCAGGCTCTTCCAAATTCAACAGCTCCTCTCCAATAATATGGGTAACAGGACCATACTATAACTGGACGTGGTAAAGGCGTTCAATAGTGTTGAGTGGCCTGATCTGTGGGAGGTGTTGGGCGCTTTGGCTTGGGACACCGCTTTATTAGATGGTTACAATTACTGTATTCTGCCCTGCAAGCCACCATGCTGGTTAACGGATTCCTTTCACCCCTTCTATTTGCCCTGGCAAAAGAACCGCTGGAAGCTACTATACGGCAATCAAATACAATAGTCAGCTTTAGAAGAGGAACTATGGAAGACAAATTGGTTCTCTATACTGATGATGCCTTGCTCTTTCTAGGAGACACAGACGGGTCCCTTTCTTTCTTATGGCTACTATTTCCACCTTTGGCTCCTTTTCGGGATTTATAATCAATTGGGACAAGTCGGTACTTCTCCCCCTAGATGACCAACAGGTATCACTCCCTCCAGATGCCCATCAGATAAAAATCATATCGGCATTCAAGTACTTAGGAGTCTGGGTCCATCCTATGGTACAAGATTATCTATGCTACAACTTGCAACCACTATTGAAAAAATTCAAATCTAAGGTCAGGGCATAGTGTAAACTTCCACTATGTGTTGTGGGTCGCATGAACCTCATTAAAATGATTTGGGCTCCTCAGTTGCTGTATATTTTGCACAATTCCCCAATGTGGGCAACACAGAAAAATGGTTTAAAAAAATTGATACACTTTATCCTAATTAGATATGGAAGGGGAAACAACCTCAAATCCACTTACCCATATTACAACTTCCTAAGGATGGTGGATGATTGTCCGTTCCATCTGCCAAAACGTATTTTTTAGCAGCACAATTGCAGCATCTCTCTGGGTTGGGCATTCATACTTTGAATGATCCCATTCAAAATATATTGAGCAGTCAAATGATAATGGGTCGATTTAAACATCAATTGAAAGCTGGGGGGGGTTTTGGAGCCGTCCACATTACCCCACACCAATACGCATGGCTAAGGTTTGGGATGAGGAGGCGGCATATCATGAGATATGATGGAATCTCAAGATATCACCACATCTGGGAGGGAGGAAGGCTGGATGAATTGGGTAAATTACAGGGCTTTGAAGATTGGTCCTCTAGAAGTGTTCTTTATGTATACCAGCTATACAAGGATAATCAGCTAAAATCCTTTTTCGGATTTATGGGAGGAATGTAATATCCCTACTCGCTATTCAGGGCAGGTTGACAATTCTTTCGCTAATTCAAACCCCACTCATTGACTATCTAGCTTCTACTACTAATAAAAGGGGTTTTATTTTCCTCATTATATCAATCTCTTTTGCATGGCCTCCAGGTCACCTTGCGGGTACCGGATAGACAAGGCTGGTCTTTAGATATTCAGATATATGTTAAACGGAAAGCACTGGAATTCAATTTTAGAACAGGTCCCCTTGGTATCTATTTTTCCTACACAGAGACTGTCACAATTTTTCCTTATACATAAAGCTTACAGAATTCCTCACAAGCTGTTTAAATGGCACCATAGAGAAACTCTGAACTGCCATCGTTGTGGGGAGGCTCCAGCAGACCATCTACATACGTTTTGGAAATGCCCCAAACTAGTACAATACTGGAAAATTATTCTTGATACCATTAACTGGGCCTTTCAAGTGATGTTACCAAACAACCAAAAATGACATGCATAGTAGGGTTTCTGGATGAGGAATTATATACTCCTCAGGTCAGAACCACTATTACTAGGCTTCTGTTCTTGGCACGTAAATACATTTTGTTGAAGTGGTTTGCATCTGCACCCCCTGCATTTGAAAAGTGGCGGACAAAATGTTAATTTTACCTTGTTGAAAGAGAAACAAAATTATGAGACAGAGAGGGACTACCTTTAAATTCAATAAGATTTGGGACCCTTGGCTTCAGACACCAGTTTGCCCCCTTTAGCTCTTGTATCCATGTATATACTGCAATATTAGTTGCCCTGTGGTCTTGACCCTCCCTTGGAGATATATGGGTATCACAACACCAGAATTACATAACCCCACTAATGGTAGAGGGACCCGAAATGTTGCAGACACAATCCAGGCACCTTACCCAGGGGCAAGACATTATGTGGGTTACTACACTGTATTTCATTGGGCTTTGTCCACATTACTTGTACATTTTGCCTCACCATAAGAATTAGCAAATTAAGCTAGAAAGTTAATGTGATTGTAACACGTTTTATTGCTACATGATACCAGGGATGTAATAGAGTACTGTTTGGTGCCATTTCTAGCTCTGACCTTACTATATCTATGTGTAAATAAGGATATTAATGTCATATGTGAGCAAGGTATGGCCAGTGTGCAGGCTGTTTCAATTGGTTTGGTTTTGTGGTTTTTAAAATGTTGAAAACTTTAATAGAAAAAGTATTGGGGGGGGGGGGGGGAAGGATATAAAGATGTGACAATTGCCTATTGATGTGGTCTTAAACTGTGCTATGTTATTTGTCACCATTTGTGATTTTAAGGCTAAACTTGTCATATGGTATTGCAGTTTCCTTTAAATAAAGTATTGGGGGGTGGGGAACAAAAAAAAAAAAAAAAAAAAAAAAAGTATAATCTGATTTTTTACTGAAAAACTGATCAAAAACGTATCAGTGTGAAAAGGCCCTCACATGCACCAAACATACAGTAAACAGGACTTTTGAAAAAGCAACTGAAACACAATTGGCACAATTGATCAGAAGAATTCCATAGAAAGTAAAGGTATGAATTTTTAATGCATTTTTCTTACTTTTTTTTTTTTTTTTACTGAAAATCTGATCAAAAACTGATTAATGTGAAAAGGACCCCAAGGTAGTGAGTAAGCCAGGCAGCAAACATTTCAGTCATGGCTGCCCTCATAATTGTTATATCTATTGAGGGGTGCTCATTTACATGTGTGAGTATTCTCCCTGTATTTCCAACAACACCTGCACAATCTCCTTACAATAAACCTGTGCCCAGACTCTGCGCACTTAAATATTTACATATTGTAAACGAGCAGTATATGCACACTAAATTGCTAAGTCCACCTTTTACCAAAACACACATTTATTTTCTTTGCAAAACAGCCTGCAATGCATTGCAACTATGATCAGTGGATTGTGGGTGGACGGTCAGACTCTATGTCTGTACTGAGGTTACTGAGCTGGAGAAGGGTCAATGGACGCCAAGTGTGGTGATAACTGCACTCGTGTTCCATTCAGAACTACAAGTTCTTCTGCTGCAATGGCAGACAGGCCTTGTTCATTCATTCACAGATCTCTGTAAATGAACGACATGCAGCGCGCACATTTAAGCCCCGCAAATTTCAAAAGTGAAACAGAAAAATGTATTCTCATTTTACAATAAGACTCATATAAAATGAAATGCAGAGTGACAGCATGTGTAGGGAAGAAGAGGCCATGCATACAGGGAAGGGCAGTTTAGGGGTGGGTGAGGGACCTGTTATACCTTAAATGTGGGTGCAATATGTAACATGGTGCAAAAAGTGGTGTTAGCCTTTAAAACAATAAAGACTGGTGTGTGTACTTGTGAGCTACTATGGTGTTTTGCCCAAATTCTTCCAATTTATAAGCAAAACAAAGCAAAAAAGTATAATCAACCTATGGTTCGCTGACACTCACACCTACTCAATAAATAGTGTTATGTAAAAAATAAAATATATGAAAAGTGCCGCGCTCCTGTGTGTTTACGATTACAATAAAAGAATTAATAATATAAATTAATAATAAAAAACAAGTACAGTGGATAAATTATAAAGAATATAAAAACTTATATGTGGTACTACCTATACCATCTTAAATAAATAACATATATTGTGCTAATATTAGTGAATATATAAAGTGATGTATAAACATATATGAACACGTGCTCATAAACAGTCCTCTTTTAGTATAAATTGCTTATAGTGCAATGCCGCTCCACCAATCCACGTGCAGTGTGATTTAATTATGCGCTTACCTCAGGTTTTGCCTTATAAATAAGGCAAAACTAGCTTTTTGTCCTTGTAGGACTACTGGGATGATCTTCCTGCATGGGATTTTCCAAATGGCAAAATAGGATGACTGTGCAGAGACCTCAGGTGGAGTGAGAGTCTATCATCAGTCTATATGTTTATACATCACTTTATATATTCACTAATATTATTAGCACAATACATGTTATTTATTTAAGATGGTATAGGTAGTACCACATATAAGTTTTTATATTATTTATAATTATTTATCCATTGTACTTGTTTTTATTATTAATTTATATTATTAATTATTTTATTGTAATAGTAAACACACAGGAGCGTGGCACTTTTCATATATTTTAATTTTTCACATAACACTATTTAGCCTTTAAAACAAGCCCTAACTCTCCTCTGTAGCAATAGGCATTATGGAAAAGTATATCTTCAAAGTTATCAATAGAAGCACTGAAATCTTAGGTTTATTCTATTACTATTGCAACAGAACCTTGTTAGCCTGCCAACTCTAATGTAAATGCAATAGGAGTATAATAATAGAAATAGAATGAAGCCAGATTTTAGAGTCTATTTTGTGATATTTGAGAATAAATTTCTTCAAATTACAAGCATCTAGGTTGAGGATTGCTCGTTTTAAAGAGCTTTTTTTTTTTTTTTTTTTTTTTAAGAATATGTAAATAATGTCCATAGTTTAGGCACAGGTGCCCTTTGGGTTATCACTATTCAAAAGTATATTATATTTAGTGGATTAATAAGGATCTTTATTACCACTTATAGTAAATAAAAATATCAGGTATTACAACATTATTTCTTAAATGTGGTTATATCAAATTGCTTTATATCACCTTTTTCTTTGTTTATCCGTGGCGATTTTAAGGCTGCTAAAGACTTCTGACTGGAAAACTAGTCAGGTTGTAAACAAAACAGCTTTCTTGATATGCTTACTCACTTCTGTCCTTTGCCATGCTTTAGCCCAAGGATAGTGGAAGATTCAGCAAGCACTTCCAATGGGTTCTCCTCAATGTCCAGTTCATGACTATAAAATAAATCAAACATTTATTCTACCTATTAATGCACAGAAAATGTAAACACAGACGGCACAAGAAAGGAAGCACATTACAAACCATATTTCTGGCCAGTCAAATTTTAAGCTCACCTCCTCTTGATTTTTGCTTGCTTGCACTCTGGAGGTTCATCTTCATCCTCCCCTTCATTCCTAATGCTTTTCACTTGTCCTTTCTGTACAGTATTCTCTGGACTCAGTTGTGACACTTATTTTAAGAAAAAACAAAATCAGAATAATCCAAACAGGTTTGAAGTACACAGCGAAGAATATATTTCAATCAACTGAGCTAACTAAAAAAAAAAAAAAAAGTTTTGTATATACAGAAAACTCAGTTTGTGTGCTAGATACACAATGCCATCATACAAACTGGATTATCATCATATGACCTGGACTCATTCTCTCGCTCTTGTCTTCTCACACGATACAAGGTTCCATGAGTGTCACAATAACACCACCCATGCATGCCTTCCAACTGGTCAACATTGGAGTATGCCAGAGCAAATGGAGGTTCCTATGTGCTACATCTCCCAAGGAAAAAAGGGAATCTTCAGACTAAAAAGTAAAGTATGGGCAAGCACATGTAGACCAGATAAAGATTTGTGGATTATAGATTGCTTTATCATGCAGTGTTATCTAAAAATAGTAGATAACATCAGTTGACAGGCTAAAATGATTAGTTCCACAACAATGAGAAGCTACAGAACTTAAAGTGGTTCTAAAGACAAGGTTTATGCCTTGAACACACACACACACACACACACACACACACACACACACACACACACACACACACACACACACACACACACACACACACACACACACACACTCACACACACACACACACACACACACACACACACACACACACACACACACACACACACACACACACACACACCTTTCCTGATCAGCTCCTCCCAGTCCCCCCCTTAAATACTTATCTGGCTCCTCTTACGATACAGCACTGTGTCCCTTTGAAGCAACGCTGGTCTTCACTGCCTCTCTCTCACAAGCACAGAAACAGTTGCGGAAGCATAATTCTGTGAGGGATTGGGGGAAGGGTATAGTCATGCTTTGTGTGTCTATGGATTCACACAGCCAGGCTTGGAAGTGCGCCTGCAAGCGTGCCCCAATGCAACTGGCTTCCTATGGGGGCACTTAGAAGAGGAGGAGTGGAGAACGCTGGTGGGGGACCCCAGAAGAGTACATACGGGACCGCTCTGTGCAATTCCAATTTGCCAGAACAGGCAAGTATAACGTTATAAAAAAAAAATTATATCTTTTATAACCGCTTTAAATCTTCCACTACTATCACCAAAGCTTACTGTATGAATAGATCACATACAGAAAATCTGTAATTTTTTTTATCTGTACATCTCTGTATTACTCTGATTTTCAAATAATGGAGCTGTTAATATTTACAAAATACAATTCACCAAGGACTGCGCTTTTTAAACAAATTGTCAGGCCTGCAGGTACACAGAAAACAGGAGCCAAGCAGTTAATCACCACAAGCTTTCTTTCCTATTTATAAATTGCTTTAATAAAAGAAGTGCTAAGGCCATCTCCTGTTATATATTGGCAATAAATTAGCCATTAGTACAATCAATAAGTGCTAATTTTACAGACCTGGCTGACTGGATGCAGAATGTCCAGATGGTGCATCTGTCTCCCCTGAACCACCACCTCTGCGATCACAATGATCAGGATCACAAGGACAATGCATTTCAAGGCTCCCTGTGTCCTGTGCCTGATGACTCTCATAAATAACACTTAAAGGTTCACAGTGTTGCTCAGTTTCCTTTATATTAAGATTTATATTCTCCAGTCCATTCACAACGTCATCACATAAACGATCAATGTCTTCTTTCAGACTTGGCAGCAACTGCAGAGAGCAGTTTGGGAGTGTTGCATCATCTATACCATGTTCAGCTGGGTTTTTTTCAGCAGAGTCTCGTGGTGAGTCAAAAGTCCATCCCTGCTGTGCCCAGTAGTGAAACTGCTCATAATAATGCCAGTAGGATTCATTATAATGTTTATTCCACTCTTCCGTGGTCTCAGGAGAATTCCAGGGTTCAGAGTTATTCTGGCTGATCTCTGGGTTCTTAACAACCCAATCTTGCCACAGCAGCCCTTGTCCATACTGGTTCCAATAATTTTCCCAACTCTCCTGTATGGTGGAATCTGAAGATTTGGGTTGCAGAGCATCTCCGCTCTCAGAGACCATTAGTGGGCTCTCTCTCATTTCACTCTGATCAGGATTTTTACTACCATCCTCTTCAACATCTCGTGTCAGCTCTACCACAGCTTCTGTACAGCTCTCATTTTTACATTTCTGGTGCTTGCTCCGGCTCTTCTTTCTATTTTTATGTTGTTTCTCAGAATGATCTGGTAACTGAAAATAGACAGCAATTATTATTCCTAGTTAGAGCTGTCTAAAACACCTAGATTATTCTCTAATGGTCCCCAGAACCCAACGGTCATCTACAACAAAACATACCTCCCCCTGTATCCTGCCAATATATACAGTAAAACAAAATCTGTAGTATAGCTGAAGGTAATGCAAATCAATACACAAATGTCCGTCACAAATATTTTAAGTGCATAGCTTTTAGCCCAAGTCTAATCGAGTTTTTTTTTTTTTTTTTTTTTTTTCCAGAAAATTCAGCCCTTAACAGACAAACATTCTGATTCACTGTGTTCCAAACAATGCCCTAGCCACAACAAACAATGTCACTGTTATAGGAGAAATGATTTGCAAAGAGGTGTGCAGGTGATACTGTAACTTATAGTGAAGAAAGAAACAGCAAACACTGACAGAACACCTTGGTCTTGTGTTCCAGTGGCAAGGAAGCGGTTTTCTGACGGAATCACCCAGTTGGGGTGACCGGATTCCGACACAAACACTCCTATAAAGTATGCCAAAGCTGAGTGAAGTATACCCGACAAGTATTTAAAGTGTAGTATGCCATCATTTGGCAGTGCCAGTAGTACTTGCCTTGGGGTCTTCTGTACTGAAACATATGTAATTTAGAACACTTGGGTCCATCTCTCATGCACACCATTATCAAGTGGTCCTTTACTATGCCTAACAGCACAGATGTGGACATAGGCACACAAATTACACCTATGCATGATGTAATTAAAAAAAAAAAAAAAAAAAAAAGAGGTAAGGCTTCTGGGTGGATCACAACTATATGAGTGATGTCAGCCGACAGCTAACAAACGGGTCACAGGAGTGCAGAACGAACTGCACTCCTGTGACTTAACTAAATAAAATAGCTTTGGCTTTACTTCTCCTTTAAAGGTTCCATTCACATTTTTGCATGCATTAACGCATAAAAAAAAAAAAAAAAAAAAAATTCAATGGGCTGGCAATGCACCATAACATCCAGAAAAATCAGATGTGTCACAAATTTTCCAACGCAATGCACTGCATGTGCATTGCCTTAGAACACTTGGATGCCAATAAAAATGAATGGCAAAAGTGTGCATGTAACATGCATTGCTATGCATTACCACAATACACAAGTCTACATGGGTCCTAAATCCCACTTACTGCATTTTTGACCCAGTTTCCAAGAAAAGAATCTTTGAAGGAATGGATAGTACAGCATACAAAGCCCATCAAAATCAGTAAAAAAAAAAAAAAAAAAAAAAAAAAAATAAAACCTGTGTGAATAGGCCCCAACGACTCACTTTATATATTTGCACATAAAAAGTTTGTTTTAACCCCTTGCCCTTATCTCCTGGAAACCAAAGGAAATGCTTGGTATTTTGGGGCACGTAGGAGCATGAGGCTCATTGCATGTAACGGCACTGGGTCAATTAGCGTCTAAACACTAAGAAATTTAGCACACTACCGACCCACAACTGCAACAGCTTTTTGGCAGTCCATGTCACCATTCAGCTTTAAAAATGTCTGCTTATTAACATGCACTGCATGTGCATGGTTACTAATAAGGTAGTAAATAAAGGAAAGCTAAAAATTGCAAAGTACAGTCGCCAGAAGCAACTTTATTTCCTTACGTTAATTTCCTTAAGTTAAATTACAAAACTACAGTTTCCCTTTACTGAATAAACCTGATTATTATTAGTTGTATGCATTTGACGGACCCTTAAGTCATTCCAGTACAATTTAGAATTCTTTTAGTACCATTAATAGGTTTTCTGTTTAAACACACCTGAAAAGGTTCAGTATTCCATAACCATTTCTAAGTATGTGAAAGCAGTAGTTTTATCTCATTAAGTGCCCAAGCAGGTTAATCTATATCAGGCAAATGTCACAGATGACAACAGTGCGGTTTAATGAGCACAAAAATACTAGGAAGGCCTATAAGTCGCCTAATAATTATACATTATTACAAGGGGGTCTCCACAGAAACAAACTTCATAAGTTCCTGGTTGGAAAATATTTTAATGAATGTGGTCATATGTTTGGGATCTAAGGTGGGTAAGTTCTTGAAGGGGTTAGATGTAAGTTATGGACCCTATCAATTTATAGCAGACAAAAAACTTAAACAGAATATTTCTGTAATTTTAAGAAATGAAATGAGAATTGTCTTCTACCTGGGGAAGACAGTTCCACAGATGGATTACTTAGCAGGACGAGCCAACTCTAAGAACAATATTCAGCCTCACTTACAAACCTGGCATGGAGTCAAGCCTTACACATACCTTATCAAAGAAGAATAAAGCAACAGAGATGTCTCTAGACCTGCTGGCTACGTGATTAAATATTTATAATGCTGTTAATATCACAAAGAACTGACAGATTTTCTTTACATTGTTATATTGACTCTCTCAACACCAAAAAATTGGAAGTTGCAAGCTACATCTTACAAGCCCCCATCAGATAATATTGCCATTATTAGCTTTCTAACTATTCTGTCATACACACACAACACGGATAAAATAATGGTAAAACAAATGATATTTAAACACTTTGACAAGTGACAACAGACAACATAGAACTTTCCGGAAAATCTCTGGGAGGTGCAGAATATTTTACCAAAAAGTTTTTCTCATATGATGATCCGCCAAACTTTACTGGGAGGCCCATTTGTAACATCAGTTCAGTCTCAGAGTCCAGTTCTTCTTCCACAATGGGAGCTCTGGAAGTTTCAGACGCTACCAGTGAACCTGGAGAGTCTTCCCCTGCGTACTCTTCCTCATCTTCTCCATAATCTGCGGTTAGATCAATACATTACTGCAGTTTTAATTTTGCTGATATGAGGCATTAATGGGTCTTAAAGAAAAAATTGATCAAGAACAGCTAATGACATGGCCACCTATTTTCTTGCTTAACCACTTTGCCTCTCACACTTGGTCACCGCCTATGGGCCAGAGCAATTTTTACAATTCTGCTATAGACCTGTTTATTCGGCAATAACTTTGTCATTACTTAAGATTACAAGGTAATACATATATTGCTTTATTAAGGAGCAGTGATTTTTGAGCAATGTTAGTTGAATGTAAATCGGGTTACTGTACATAAAATGTGCACTTTCTGTAATTTGTCTTGTTTAAAATTACATTAAAATAATGATTCTGGTACAAAGCATTGCAAAGATACTTAAAAATAAGATGAAGTGTTTTTTTCCCAATGTTGCACTTTAAAAAATGGGAAATGTGTAAATATATATTTAACAAAAAAGTTTAAATATTAGTGAATACAACAAACAAAAAAATCTGCAAGAAAATAATAGTTGAAGAGAAGAGACTAGGGCGTTAATTAGGGCTGAATAGAGTAAACTAGGGGTTAAAACAGGGTAAAAGAGTAAAAATAAAGCTTTTCTTTTTTCACTTGTCAGGTTGCTTTAACTGACATAATTTGCAGATCTAAGTTCATCCATTTGATCTGCAAATGAATGAACAGAAAAAGACAACAGTGTTTATTAATTTATTACAGATACTAACATAGTGCCGTCAATTTACACAGCACTTCACAAATATATTGTACATTCACATCAGTCCCTGCCTTCAAGGAGCTTACAGTCTAAGGTCCCTGACGTTCATAAACTTGGGCCAATTCAGACAGGATCTAATTAACCTACCAGCATGTCTTTGGAGTGTGGGAAAAACTGGAGAAGCCAGAGGAAACCCATGCAGGCACAGAGAGGACATGCAAACTCCAGGCAGGTAGTGTTGTGTTTGAAATTCAAACCGGTGACCCTAGTGCTGCCAGGTGGAAATGCTAACCACTTAACTTCTGTGATGTTTATAAACACTGATTCAGACTGCTTTTTTGACAGCTAGGGCTGCCGACGTCTTCTCTGAGTATACAGTAATGCGGCTTTGATTAAACACAGCCAACAACTACTGTACACTGGGAAAAATACTTTTTTGGGGTATGTGTAGCATTCCCAAAGTCTGCAACTAGATAAAGAAAATCTGTACAAAAAAAAAAATAAATAAATAAAAAATAATGGGGGCTGATGAAGCTGCTTTCTTCTTCCAAAAACACTAGCTGTCTGGATATCTCAATTGTCCAACTACTTCAAAACTATGAGTCACTGACGCAGAACCAGTGTGCGGATCAAGAACTTCACTTAATGCATGCTTAGTCAAGTCTGTTAAGTGAAGTATTGAGGTTAGAAACAGACAATTAGCATTTCCAGAAGAGGGTCGGCAGCCTATATAAGTACAGGAATCCTTTGAGCATGGTGGTATTGGTTTCAGCCAGTAATACGCTACCTGCATAGAATTTGTATGTCCCACCTGCCTGGAGATTTCTTTTTATTTGTCCTAGTGACAAGTGTCACTGGGATGGACAGTGATGGTAAATCCAAACTTTTGTGGTCATCTCCAACACAAATAGAAGAGAATTGGAAAGGTTTTCTTATCCTGCCATGTGTTCATGAGATGAGGTTAAGACATCTCCCCTATGTGATTTGGTGCTCTTTGGATATTGGTACAAATTTTAAAAATTACACATCTACAAAAAACAAAATATGTTCCCTACTTGAAACACACACACACGAACACACACACACACACACACACACACACACACACACACACACACACACCTATACAACACACACACTTTGCCTAAAATACACAAAATCAAGCCCACACTGCTCTATAAAGAATGACTATATCCTGTAATTAGGAATGCAGTGCACACAAAACATACAAAGTAAATCTTAAGATTTACTGCTCATGAATTTAAAATAGTAATTCCAAGATCCAGCAACATGTTATATTCAAGATACTAAAGCATTCTGTGCAAACAGCCTGCATAACAAAGAAGCAGTTGAATCCAAAACCAACAGACCTGCAGGCATTTCTGAATGTGCAAGTGACAGACTGAGAAGTTTAAATCATAGAGGGAACTCATTTAAATGGCAGTGGGACATTGGCTTCCATCACAATAACTGACACCTGGGTGTCTTATAGAGTTTGCAGTGGAAACTAGACAAAGAATTAAAGATTTTATTCTTCAAAGCAGGCTGCTGTTTGTCTTTATAAAGAAAAATGTTATATGAATTTAAAATGGTCTTATACCCCATAAAACATAAGGAGGATAGGCAGGACTACTCGTCTTTTTAGGGTTGAGAAGGTTGCTGTTTTTTGCTCTTTTCCCATGTTACTGAAAAACATTTTTACCAGTTAATACCATCAAAATAAAATTATATTATCCATTAATAGGAATCAGAGTAGCTATAACCAATCAAAAATGAAAATGTGACCAGGCAGGTACAGCCCTTTACTAATTAAATTCTACATAAGAGATAGCATAAAATTAGTTACATGGTAATAGCATACATGGGAGGCTCCACCAGACAGAAAACTCCCCAAATACTTTAGGGCCCATTTACCATAGTTGGCATGTGGTAGGAGGCAAGGATCTCTTTATACAGCCTCTCAAACGACTCAAAGTGATTATGAAGTCTTAGGGTTTTACCTTAAAGTGGAACTTAACCTCTGAGACTACTAAGCAATTTATTCACTCCCTGGTTATCTCTCACCTTGACTATTGTAACTCCCTCCTCATTGGCCTACCTCATCGCAGGCTATCCCCTCTTCAGTCTATCATGAATGCTGCTGCCAGACTCATCCACCTTACTAATCGTTCCATATCTGCCACCCCTCTCTGCCAATCCCTCCACTGGCTTCCCATTGCCCAGTGAATAAAATTCAAAGCATTAACAACATATAAAGCCATTTATAACTCTGCCCCCAATTACATCACCAATCTTTTCTCCAAATATCACCCAAACCGTACTCTCCGCTCCTCGCACAACCTCCTGCTCTCTAGCTCCCTCGTCTCCTCCTCCCATGCTCGTCTCCAGGACTTCTCCAGAGCCTCCCCCATCTTCTGGAAATTTCTACCCCAATCTATCAGACTATCACCTACTCTGCTCACTTTTAGGCGGTCTCTGAAAACCTCTCTCTTCAGGGAAGCCTATCCTGCCATCAGCTAATAACGCAATCTTCTATTCCTCCTACCAGTCCATCCCCCACAGTTATTACCTTTTGTACCACCAGCCCCTCCCTTTTAGATTGTAAGCTCCAAGGAGCAGGACCTTCCTAACTCTCTTGTATAGAACTGTATTGTTCCCCTTTATATTGTAAAGTGCTGAGCAAACTGTTGGCGCTATATAAATCCTGAATAATAATAACTTTAGACAGAAAAAAAATAAAGGTGAATAGGCAGGAATTTTAATGCAGAAGAGACATGCTTTGTTTCTTCTGCATTAAAGTTACTTACCTGCCTCCCTGTCCCTGTACAGTGAGCAACATACACGCAGCTCATTGTACAAATTCGGCAATGCCGAATCTGACTGAGCTTCCGTGCATGCGCTGGAGTGTCATCATCCCCGCCCAGCCATCGACAACGGCAAGCGATCAAAACCCGGAAGCTGCCCGCCGAAAGAGGTCAGCAGCGGGACGCTGCATCACTGGAGCTAAGGTGAATATAGTTCCCGCTTTAATGCATCCTCTGCATTAAGATAAATAACCATGTGTGTTGCTTGTATCCCCCCAGAGCCCCACCTTATACTCACCCAAAACCGATCTTGATCCAGTGATGTGGGTGAAAGCAGAGTTTCTCCCAGCTCTACCTCTTCTCACTGGACAGATTGATAGCAGCGTGAGCCATTGGTTCCCGCTGCTGTCAAATTCAGTAACGAGATAGAGGAGGTCAACTGTTAGTGGTATTATAACAAAGTGGGTTTCCATGGCCGAGCAGCTGCATCAAAGCCGTACATCACCAAGCACAATGCAAAGCGTCAGATGCAGTGGTGTAAAAGGACGCTCTGCCACTGGACTCAAGGAGTGGCGATGCATTCTCTGGAGTGACCAATCACGCTTCTTTGTCTGGCAATCTGATGGACTTGTCTGGGTTTGATGGTTGCCAATAGAACAGGTACTTGCTTGACTGCATTGTGCCTAGTGTAAAGTTTGGTGAAGGTGGGATTATGGTGAGGGGTTGGGCTTGGCCCCTTAGTTCCAGTGAAGGGAACTCTTAAAGCGTCAGCATACTAAGACATTTTGGACAATTTCATACTCCCAACTTTGTGGGAACAGTTTGGGGATGGCCCCTCCTTGTTTCAATATAACTGCGCACCAGTGCACAAAGCAAGGTCCATAAAGACATGGATGATCGAGTTTGGGGTGGAGGAACTTGACTGGTCTGCACAGAGTCCTGACCACAACCAGATAGAACACCTTTGGGATGAATTAGAGCGGAGACTGCGAACCAGGCATTCCTTGATATCAGTGCCTGACCTCACAAATGCACTTCTGGAAGAATGGTCCAACATTCCAATAGACACACTCCTAAACCTTGTGGACAGCCTTCCCAGAAGAGTTGAAGCTGGTATAGCTGCAACGGGTGGGCTGACTCAATATTGAACCCTATGGACTAAGACTGGCATGCCATTAAAGTTAATGTACATGTAGAGGCAGGCGACCCAATACATTTGGAAATATAGCGTGTGTGTGTGTACCTGAGTGTGTATACTCAGGTATAATAAAATCATAGAAATCCAGATTATTCGTCCCACTGAGTATATGGAATACATGGAGTCTTATCAAGTGAAATAATAGTGGGAAAGTAAGACATTGAAACACAAATGAAAAATATAATAAACGCAGCCGACAGCACACTTTGACTCCTCACCGCCCGTTTCAACCCCTAAAAGCTCGCACCACCTTGCAACAATGTGGCATGGCCTATACAGGTGAAACTCAAAAAATTAGAATATCGTGCAAAAGTTCGTTTATTTCAGTAATGCAACTTAAAAGGTGAAACTAGTATATGAGATAGACTCATTACATGCAAACAAGATAGTTCAAGCCATGATTTGTCATAATTGCGATGATTATGGCTTACAGCTCATGAAAACCCTAAATCTACAATCTCAGAAAATTAGAATATTGTGAAAAGGTGCAATATTCTAGGCTCAAAGTGTCCCACTCTAATCAGCTAATTAAGCCATAACACCTGCAAAGGGTTCCTGAGCCTTTAAACGGTCTCTCAGTCTGGTTCAGTAGGAATCACAATCATGGGAAAGACTGCTGACCTGACAGTTGTGCAGAAAACCATCACTGACACCCTCCATAAGGAGGGAAAGCCTCAAAAAGGTAATTGCAAAAGAAGTTGGATGTTCTGAAAGTGCTGTATCAAAGCACATTAATAGAAAGTTATGTGGAAGGGAAAAGTGTGGAAGAAAAAAGGTGCACGAGCGGCAGGAATGACTGCAGCCTGGAGAGGATTGTCAGGAAAAGGCCATTCAAAAGTGTTGGGGACTTTCACAAGGAGTGGACTGAGGCTGGAGTCAGTGCATCAAGAGCCACCACACACAGACAGATCCTGGACATGGGCTTCAAATGTCATATTCCTCTTGTCAAGCCGCTCCTGAACAACAATGTCAGAAGCGACTTACCTGGGCTAAAATCCTCTTTTCTGATGAGAGCAAATTTTGCATCTCATTTGGAAACCAAGGACCCAGAGTATGGAGGAAGAATGGAGAGGCACACACTGCAAGATGCTTGAAGTCCAATGTGAAGAATCCACAGTCTGTGTTGATTTGGGGAGCCATGTCATCAGCTGGTGTTGGTCTACTGTGCTTCATTAAGTCCAGGGTCAACGCAGTCGTCTACCAGGGGATTTGGAGCACTTCATGCTTCCTTCCGCAGACGAGCTTTATGAGGATGCAGACTTCATTTTCCAGCAGGACTTGGCACCTGCCCACACTGGCAAAAGCACCAAAACCTGGTTCAATGACCGTGGGCTTAATGTGCTTGATTGGCCAGCAAACTTGCCTGACCTGAACCCCATAGAGAATCTAAGGGGCATTGCCAAGAGAAAGATGAGAGACATGAGACCGAACAATGCAGAATAGCTGAAGGCCGCTATTGAAGCATCCTGGTCTTCCATAACACCTCAGCAGTGCCACAGGCCGATAGCTTCCATGCCACGCCGCATTGAGGCAGTAATTGCGGCAAAAGGGGCCCAAAACCAAGTACTGAGTACATATGCATGCTTATACTTTTCAGAGTTCAGATATAGTTCTATGTACAATCCTTGTTTTATTGATTGCATGTAATATTCAAATTTTCTGAGATTGTGGATTTGGGGTTTTCATGAGCTGTAAGCCATAATCATCACAATTTTAAATTGCATTACTGACAAATGAACTTTTGCACGATATTCTAATTTTTCGAGTTTCACCTGTACACTTGAAGGGGTCTAAAATAGGCAGGCAACAAACTGGGGCTTTAATTCCTTTCACAGCTGCAAAGCAACACATCCATGTCAAATGTACACCCCTGTCCACTGTCTTTGCAGTTTAAGGGGGAATGGTTGGTGGGCAGTAAAAATATGGTTTAGCTGCTGATAGCCCGCTCACCCCCCCCTCACCCCGTCTCCTGTTACAGCAGACAGGGGATCCTCTCCTTGCACCCGCTGTCACATTTAAAAATTACCGTGGCTGTGAGGGGCTCTGCCTGCACAGCTGTGTGTAATTCATTCACATGAATCTGTAAATGAATGAACTACATGTCCTGTCTTCCACCACAGCAGACAGCTTGTGGTTCTTAATGAACTGTGAGTACTGATGTGTACCTTTTTTAGTTCATTCGCAAGCCCTGAAGCATTCTAACAGAAAGCCTGTACTGAGGTATGGGCAGAAAGCTGTAGGACTTGTCTGCAGGATCCTGATATTGCACCTGTGATCCACTAATTGGGAGTGCAATGCTTTGCAGGCTCCTTGGGGAAAAAATATGTAGGTTTATTATTTCTCCCTGAAAGGTGAACATAGCCTTTAAGAAATCTAGGGATACATGGAAAAACGGTTGAAAATAAAAAGGACAGAAAAAAGCGTGGAAAAAAACAACCTATTTATTCCTTATATTTGTCCTAACACCCCTGTCTCAAAGTAGAATACAGTACATTAAGTTACAAAAACCTTATGCAGCTCTCCCCAGCCCCCCTCATATTTACCTGAGCCTCATCTCGATCCAGCGCTGTGCCCAAGAGCAGTGGCTCTCTGCTCACTCTCCTCACTGGACAGAGAGGCAGCAGTAGGCGCCATTGGTTCCGGCTGCTGTGACTCACAGCTGGTGAGCAGAGAGTGGGGGGCGGGGCTGGGCCACACTCTGTATGTCAATGGATACACAGAGCGTGGCTCAGGATCAAGTCCAAACGGTGACCACATATATACAGGTTGGATAGAATGGACCTTTGTATTTTTCTAACCTTATCTACTATGTAACTTTGGATTGGTCAAAGTTCTCCATATTGATTCCAATACAGGCGCAACCATCACTTCCATTTCATAGGAAGGTTGTCCCTGGCCACTGCTCAGTCCACATCTTTAAAGCACTTGGAAGCTCCCAGGTATGCAGAAAGCCTCAGTGGGGGGATGCACAGTTTCCCAAGATCATCCTGACAGTCCCTAAAACCACAGTTTGGGAAGTGTACCAAATCACAACCTCCAAAAGGGAAGAAGTCCATTTCTGAAAAAAGGGCACTCTAGTTTTCACACTACTAAGGGTCCAGGACTAAGGCCCCTTTCACACTAATCGGATGCGTTATTCCTGCAGTGCATGTACCTGTTTTTGTGTAGGTTTGCTGCACTTTGCCATTCACTTCTATTATGTCCTGCAGTTTTGGTGAGCATTCAGAAAGCACACCAAAACTTCTGCATGCAGGACTATTAGTGCACTTTCAGAAAGCGCACCAAAACCATGGGTCATAATATACAGTATGTGTATGGCAAAGTGCAGCTAACCTAGAAGAAAACTGTGGGTACGGTGCACTGTATCCGCACTGCAGGAGATGAGCACTGCATCAGTGTGAAAGTGCCCTTGGGTACAAGCACAGGAGAATACTACTAATGAAATCAGCAGTTTTCCAAAGTCAGCTACTAGAAGTACAGTTTACCACAATCAAGTCGTTTTCCTTTTTGGGCTCAAAAAGGTAAATAAAGAGGCGCACACGCGCACACACACACACACATTACCTCTTTCATTATTCCTTTTGTTTCTGTAAACTCCCCTTAAACCTAAATAGTACAAATGTCGATCACTACAAAGAAAAAGAGAAGAGACACTTGTTAGCAAAGATTATCATAAGCAATGCATAACACCATTACCGTAATTACAATAAAACCCACCACATGACACAGCAATGCTCTTCTGAACCTTCATCTTTCACTTCTAAAGTGTATGGGGTCTGCGAAACCAAGTTTAGCTGGCACAGAGTCCAATTTTTCACAGTCTCCATGTATAGGGTTCCCACAATATACAGGCTCTTCCTTGTTTGGCAGTCCCATGTCACATTTACAGTACTTCTGCCCCCCACCCCAAAGCGACAAGTACAGTACGTAAAACCCTGCTGTAAGTTGGCATGCAAGACCCTCCAGCAGTAATAAACTGAAGACAGACACCAAACCAGCACAAAAAACAAAACAAAAACTTTAAAATAGGTCCATGATGCTTGCTGCGAATCAAAGATTTATTTCCTAATGGAAAACACTAACAACACATCACAAGAAAGCCTTCAGGTGCCTTGCCTACTCAAAACTACAACATTTAAATAAAACACATCAATCCAAAACAAGTTAAGCCTTTTTTGCAATGTTGTGCTGCTAGTGTCTTCCATCTGACTAACAAATCTCTGATCAACAGCAAGCACTATGGACTTTATTTTCTGTACTTGAGGTGCAAGACCAGGCAAGTTAGGGAAACCATTGACTGCCTCTGCTATAGCAGATTAAAAGGCCGATCTCCCTGCTGGCAGCAAGTTTGAAATGAATCAGCCCAAATGGCACTCATAGCCAATAAGTGGCTGTATTGAAACTCCAGATTACAGTCGTGTTTATAGGGTACCCACAGTGAAAACGCCACCCTTGGTAGAGCAATTCTAGGATAAAAGATCACCTGAAACTTTAGACTGAAGGTCTGCCCAATATCAGGATTATTAGAGAGGTAATGTGAATATATGCAACCATGCATTTTATGATGAAGACATATTAATACACAAGAAAGGACAGCTTTTTAGCGGTTTCCCAAACTGAGCAAAAGTAAAGGACATCTGTTTCTAAGTGCAGCCTATGGCACCACAACCTCCACTGCCCTGTCTCTTATTCTAAGACCTCCCTCTACACAAACAAGGCCATTTTGCCACTGGGCTGCAGTTAGACAGGGGCATATGGCAAGCAGAGCAATGTTCCCCCTACAGAGCAACATATCTTTAGAATGTTTTTATTTTGTCTCCATATCATAAAGAGCCAAAAGCAAAAACACAGCAACCTTTTGTATTCTTTTACTACTAGCTTTTATTAAATAAACAGCATTTTATTTTTGGTGTACACTAAAATGAGTAGAATGAAAGAGTAATCTGTACATCAGGACTTACTTAACAAAAGCTCTGGAGCAAAGACACAATATTCTACTTTCCTTACTTAGATCGTCCGGGTAAAGGCACATCTCTGCCACTGGATTCCACTCTACACACAGCATAATCCTAGTAAATGAAAAATCAATCAACATAAAATACATATACACACACATACATACACATGCAGTTAGGTCCATATATATTTGGACACAGGAACAATTTTAGTTTTTTTCCAGGTATTTACCAGACATATTCAAGCTATAGTTATACAATTGATATGGGCTAAAAAGGGCACACTCAGGTTTAATTTCAGGGTATGTACATCTAAATTGGAGGAAGGTTTTAGAAATTACAGCTCTTAAGAGTAGCCATCCCGCCCTTTTTCAAGGGACCAAAAGTAACTGGACAATTGAATCAAAAGCTGTTTCATGGCCAGGTGTGGGCTTCTCCTTCGTTATTTCTTCATCAATTAAGCAGGTAAAAGTTCTGGAGTTGATTCTAAGTGTGGTATTTGCATTTGGAATCTATTGCTGTGAACCTACATCATGCATTCAAAGGAGCTGTCCATGCAAGTGAAACAGGCCATTGTAAGGTTTCAAAAAAACAAAACAAATCCATCAGAGATAGCAGGAACATTAGGAGTGGCCAAATCAACAGTTTGGTACATTCTGAGGAAAGAACGCACTGGTGAGCCCAGCAACATAAAAAGGAATGGACGTCCACGGAAGACAACAGACGTAGATGATCGCAGGATCGCATTCACAACATCCAGACAAGTTAAGGACACTCTCCAGGAGGTGGGTGTATCATTGTCAAAGTCTACAATAAAGAGAAGACTTCACGAGAGCAAATACAGGGGGTTCACTACAAAGTGCAAACCATTCATAAGCCTGAAGGGTAGAAGAGCCAGATAAGACTTTGACAAAAAAAATCTAAAAAAGGCAGACCAGTTCTGGAAAAGCATTCTTTGGACGGATGAAACTAAGATTAATCTGTACCAGAATTACAGGAAGAAAAAAGTGTGGAGAAGGCTTGGAACAGCTCGTGATCCAAAGCACACAACGTCATCTGCAAAACTTGGAGGAGGTAGTGCGATGGCATGAGCATGCATGGCTTCCAGTGGCACTGGGTCATTGGTGTTTATTGATGATGCAGTGTTTCCAATTGAGCATGCATTTCACTTGCTGAAGGTAAAACTAAAAGGCAGAAAGACCCACAAACAAAGAACAACTGAAGACAGCTGCAGTTAGAACCTGGCAAAGAATCAAAAAGGAGGGAACCCAGTCTTTGGTAATGCCCATGGGTTCCAGACAACAGGCAGTCATTGCCAGTAAAGGATTCTCAATAAAATATTAAAAATGAACATTTTGATTATATTCATTTGTCCAATTACATTTGAGCCCATGAAAATGGAGGGACTGTGTATAAAAATGGTTGCAGTTCCTAAAATTTGTATTTGATATTTATGTTAACCCCTTGAATTAAAGCTGAAAGTCTGCACTTCAAATTCATTTGGATTGTTCTGTTTTAATTTATTCTGGTGGCATAGAGCCAAAAGAATGACAATTGTGCCTCTGTCCAAACACACACACACACACACACACACACACACACACATATATATATATACACATACACACACAGATTATATATTTAAAACTTAAACTAGTCTTAAACTTTGAACATCAAAAATTGTATTTCTAGTTTTGGGTAGAGTGGGGAGGGATTAGAATCCCTTCTAGGTTTGTACTGCATTTCAGGCCTCAGCTAAAGAGATTGTTCCTCATTCACGGACAATGGTTTCACCAGATAACAAGTGCAACAGCAATACAAACAGCAATAAATAAGCGCCCAATGTTTAAAAGAATTTAAGCCTGGTGGTAGATTAAGAGGCATTTATTGAAACAAAAACAAGTACATCAAGCCAACACATTTCAGGAGAAAGGACTATCCATTCTTCAGGGCTGTAGCTGCACGCTATTAAAAGGGAAAGATACCTGCACTGGTTGTATATTTACCAGGTTTCAGAGGAAAAACTGATAGAGTGACGGATGTTGTTCCAGGGGCAGCAATGAGTCTCATTGAGATAAAAAAAAAAAAAAAAAAAAAAAAAAAAAAAGGGCCCCCCCCCCACTTAATGAAGTTGATTACTGAAGCATTTCTGTGGGTGTGGTCATCTGCTTTGCTGTAAGAAACACTAGAGGTAAGTAATCAGATACTTCCAAAAGGCAGTGCAAGCAGCTTTTTGCCTAAATGCAAGAACAGCAAGAAACTCTACTGCATGCTGACAGACTGCAAACAAACACCCTGGGAAACATCTCTTACAAGTCTGAGTACCACTCTGTGTACCTTTTAATATGTCCCCTCTACTCCTTTTCATATTACTTTCCTGCGTTCCCAAAAATCGCACTTCTTTATCACTCTGCTCCACCCCAAAACTTGTACATCTCACCCTCACTGCTACCATCTCCCTACTACTGCTTTCATCACCTCCTGCTGATACTTTACTCTCCTGCTGACCCAAACACCAGGACTGGAAGGCATGTGCGCTCGTGTACATCCCCCACTCCCATCTTACCTTCCTCTTCTTCTCCTAACCTCTGGGGATATCTCCCCAAACCCTGTTCCTTCACCATTTCACCCCCACACCATGCATCCTCTTTCTTCCGGGAATAGCCGCAATCCCCTCAATTTAACATCAGTCCCCATGCTCCCAAAAACCATCCTCCCTTTTTCATGTGCGCTCTGGAATGCCCGCTCTGTCTGTAATAAGCTCACCTCTGTCCATGACCTTTTTGTCACCCGCTCCCTTAACCTACTAGCAATTACAGAAACCTGTCTTCAAGCAGCAGATTCTGCTTCCCCCGCAGCACTTTCCAATGGAGGCCTCATCTGGACCCAATCACCCAGACCCAGTGGTCGGAAAGGTGGTGGGGTTGGTTTGCTTCTATCCCCACTCAGCACGTTTCAAGTCCTCCCTAACCATCCCTCTTTATCCTTCTCTTCTTTCGAGATCACTGCATCCAGCTGTTTTCTCCCATTTCTCTGAGGATTGCAGTAATCTGTCAGCCTCCTGGACCCGTGTCCCGCTTTCTTGATGATTTCTCCACCTAGCTACCCTACTTTCTCTCCTCTAAACTACCCACTATCCTTCTTGGAGACTTTAACATCCCTATTAATAACAACCCGGCTACATCCCAACTCTTCAACTTAACCTCATCTTTTGCATTAGCACAATGTATACAGTCCTCCACTCACTCTGATGGGAATACATTAGACCTTGTTTTCTCCCATCTTTGCACTCCCTACAAACGCACAAACACCCCCTTTCCTCTCTCAGAAGACAAGGACACTGTGAAGGTAATGAGATTGTGATCAAACACCTATCCCTCCAAGCAGTAAACAATTACCTGCAGAAACCTTCACAACTTGAACCCTGCTCCTTTCCACTCTGCAACTGACCAACTCTATGACAGAATCTCTCCTCTGCCCTGCCCTGACCTGGCCACTGCTGTCTATAACAGTTCGCTTTCATCCGCATTAGACTCACTTGCGCCTCTAACAACACGAAGCATCAGGCCCCGACAGTGACAGACTGACGGCACCAGAAATCTTAAACCACATAGTCGTGCGCTGGAGCGATTGTGGCGTAAAACCAAATCCCACCAAGCATTCACCAGATATAAAT